CCAGTTCCCGACTAACTTCTAGGCCAGGAGGCAGAGGGCTTCTTTTAGTCCACGGGGGGGGGGGGGGGGGTGCCTTAGCTAAAGCACACACTAGTGCTCGTTCTGACCTCTATGAAGTGGAATGTCTGCCTGCTGGTAACATGGCCGTTGTCTCATGTCACTGCGTGCAGGGGGCCTCCATGGAGCCTGCATCGATGGCTGTGGCAGGTGACAGGGCTGGGCCTTCTGGGCTTGTGTGGCTTTGATCGCCTACTAAAGATTGGGATTTCTTTCGTTTTTAATAGGCATTAGGGCTTCTTTAATCAGCTGGGATGTTTTCTGGGCGATAGGACTCTTCCCAACTGCCTTAGTCCCTTTGAGAAGAAAAGACGGGCAGTGTGTCAGGTGGAGGCGGAACCCACACAATGAAAAGACTGGGCCCGTTGTGCTGCACCCTGTCTCTGCTGCTCTGGTCCCTCGTCCCCTCTCGTCCCCCCTCATCCCCTCTCGTCCCCTCGTCCCCTCTCGTCCCTCCTCGTCCTCCTTCGTCCCCTCGTCCCCTCTCGTCCCCCCTCGTCCCCTCTCGGCCGGTGCTCCCACGCCCAGCCGCCTATGTGCCTGGTTGCCGGCTCTCCTTCAGTCCTCTGCAGGCAGGAGCTGGTAGTTTAACAAGCCTGTGAGAGTGGAAGTGGGTAGGAATCAGTTTTGGACAGGTGTAAGCAAACTGGTTGTATTTTGTTTTTGTTTTTTGTCTTGGACTGAGGAAGAATACATGGGATGAATAGTAAAGTTAAAAAACACACACCACTTTCTCATTTTCCAGATTGGGGGCATTAAGTATTGAGAATCCTCTTAGAATTTGCCTCCCCCCCCCCCCCCCCCCTTAACTGAGAAGAGCTGAAGACTCACTCTGCAGGTGGCTCCCGCAGGGATGTACGTGCTGTGTCACCGTCTCCCGGTTTGGCCCACATAACCGTTCGGCGACTGGATCACATGGCTAGCAGTGGGAGGTATCTGTGCAGATGATCATTCGGGGAGAAATAGGTTTAATTCACGGAGAAATGTAACTGGCAGGTGCTCTGTGGAGATCCGCAGTGCCTTCTGGGGGACTGAGTGCCAGCTGCAGGGTGAGCGAGGCTTCTGTCTGGCGCTGCAGGTGGTACGTACGTCATTGTGCCTGTGCGCGCAGTGTTTATGTCTGGAGGACAGGGCTCCCCAAATAGCAGCTGGAAGAGAAGCTCTTTGTTGGGGGCGGGGACTGCCTGGAAAGAGAATGTTCCAGCTGGGCCACGGCCTCCGCCATGGGAGTATCTAGGGCTCTCCTGCTGTTACCGAGGGCGGACACATGGCCGCCGCTGGGCCCGGAAGTCCCGTCGTTTGTGCTAACACCGCTGCTGTCCTTGTCATGTACCGGGGCCCCTGGGGTAGACAGCTAGCATGTCCTCCTGAGTTTGGAGTTAACTGCTCAGGACAGTCAAGATGTCGCTGAGCTGTCTGTTGCCATTTGCCAGTCTGGTTCTGGGGATGAGCAGGAGAAATTCACATTAGCCCTGGGGGACATGTGCCTCTGAGCTGCAGGAGATGGTAGCTGAGTCCCCTAGAGGTCTCTCATGAAGATGTGGTTTTACTTAGAATAAAATATCCTTTTGGCCCTGGTCAGTTTGGCTCAGTGGATAGAGCGTCAGTCTGTGTCCTGCGGAATCCCGGGTTCGATTCCGGTCAAGGGCATGTACCTTGGTTGTGGCACTTCTTGCCCTCTCCTCCCAACTTTGATATCTTTTCCAGATCGGCTTTGTTCCCTTAAATATTCCATGTTGCTAAATTAGTTTTCTCCCTTTTCATACTAACCCAGAATCTCAGACACTTTCTGTGGAACTTATCTCTGGAATTAGGAGGAAAGCTACTAGATAAGAAATGTCTTTTTATTTAACCCTTCCTCCCTTTTATTTATTTTATTTTTAAAAATATGTTTTTGTTGATTTTAAAGAGGGAGGGAGAGAAACATCCATGATGAGAGAATCCTTGGTCGGCTGCCTCCTGAGCACCCCTTACTGGGAATCAAGCCCGGCACCAGGGCATGTGCCCTGACCAGGAATTGAACCCCTACCTCCTGGCTCATAGGTTGATGCTCAACCACTGAGCAACACCTGCCAGGCTATCCTTTTTTTCCCTTTTTTTTTTTTTTTTTTTTTTTTTTTTTTTAATTATGAAGTAGGATTCTATACTTTTTAAAAGAGAATCCCGACTTTCAAACGAATCTTGGTAGATGTTTGGCTACTGTAACAGTAAAATAAAAGTATTACAGTGTTATGAACAGTGACTGCTTATTCTCCCTTTTCACAAGTTTTCTTCTTCCACATTAACTTCTAGGCAGCATCTTGGGGTGGTAGGTAGGGGAGGCCATTTGCAAACTTGATGACTAATTTTTCATCAGAAAGAGTGAGCCGTCTATTTAAATCAGATATGGACACGATTTAATCTCTGTAGACCTAGAGAATGTTTTCAGTTCAGCAATTAATTCAGAGTTTGTGACCAAAGTAAACCATATCCCCGAGAAGGTGCTTGTGACCTCATCCTGTATTCTTATGTGCTCCGGATGAGTCCAGAGCTATTCATAGTAAGAGGGAGCCAAGAGGCCAAAATCGTCTCCTGTGCTGCCTCATCGTGGCCTGGCCTTGTCTTGCCTTGTTTTACCTGTTTCCAGAGCCCCCGAACGCCAGGAGCTTCACTCACGGCAGGTGAGGAGCAGGTGTGGGTGCCGCGCTGGGGCGGTGAGGACGGGGCTGCTGCTCTGGCGGCGGGGGCAGGTCTCTGGTGTGAGCTAGCACCGGGCGTGGTTTCTTAACCTCTGGTGAGATTTGCTCAAACAGGGCCCGTGCACTGATGAGGTTTAGTCTTCCTTTTGCTAAAAAGCTCTGTAGTAAACCTAAACCCAGTAATGAGAGTACCTGATATAGAAAATACTAATGTAATAATGCAGGTTTATATTTACATTGGGGATTTATATGAAGTTCGCTTATTTATTTCTAACGTAAGTGAAGGAATGGAGTTATAAGTAGCTTATTTAGGCCAGTCAAGCTCAGGAATCGCGGGACAAACCTTCTCCTCTGACAGGTCAGGGAGCTCGGCCCCGGAAGGGGACGCACTCACAGCCAGTGAGGGTCCGTGCACTAGTGCTCCACAAAGCAGACTCTGCACCCAGCTTTCTTCTCTGGCCCCGCTGAACACACCCCTTTACAGTTAGCTTTCTCTGTTGGCTGTGTGATAACAGGCCGATAGTATAAGTAGTGAGAGATATCTTTGAAAAGTAGATAATTATTCACAAGGGTTCATTTTTGGATCTGACTCTCCAGATTTGAGACTAACAGTGTGTTATGTCATCTTTTTGTCCATAAACTACATGACTAAACATTTTAATGCATAAATGAATATTGAGTGATCTCAAATGAGACTGTATGAGAATAAATTTGTTCATGAATTTATTAAAATCCATTCTCGAATACTTGCATAACCAGTTTAACAAATCTGTATGGCACTTAAAGGAACTGATTGTATGTTTTAGAGAAGAACTACACACCTGGGTGATCTCTCTGATCATTGAAAAACGGGCTTTAAAGAGTCAGTCCTTTCACTTCCAACACCACATGAGCATTGCTTTCACAGGGTCCATTTCCATAAGGAGACGTGTGTGCGTGCGTGCGTGCGTGCGTGTGTGTGTGTGTGTGTGTGTAAGTCATACTTTATATTTGGTGACAGGAAAAGAATGGCTACACTGTTGAGATGTAGATGCTGATTTGTTGGCTAAATGCACACACAGCCAAGTGACTTTCCCAATTTCCGACTAATTTTCTATCAATTTTACCTTGTTAGGCTGAATTTAAACTGTTGTTCATATTCCAGGACCCGCGTGCCAGCTCCGGACGTGGTTTGGGAAGTGCGGTGGTGGGGCGTGGTGAGGGGACACGTTACAGAGGGTGAAGCTGCTCTGTGAGGATCTGCACTCAGATCCAGGAGGTTTACAGCGCATCGCGGGATTTCCTGTACTTCCCCATGTCCTAACTTAGAAAAAGTTTGAGTTGATTGTGTGAAAGAAGTGACATAATTATATTTTTCTGGCACAGACAAATCTAGTTGGCTCTTATTGTATGCGTTAAAGATAGTATTAGGTGTCCTTTCAAATTCTCTTTTGATTATGAAACTAATTATAGACATTCTTTATTGTTTTTGGTTCATAACAGTTTTCATAGCCTAACTGATAATAATAATTATCATAGGTAGGAAAGAAAGCAGTTACTTCTGTTGTTCTCAATTCTCACCCGAGGATATATTTTCCATTGAATTTTAGAGAAAGTGGGAGGGGGAGAGAGAGTGGAATGGGGAGGGGAGAGAGGAAGGGAAAGGGAGAGAGAGATAGAAAATATCCATGATGAGAGAGAATTTCTGATCAGTTGCCTTCTGCATGCCCCCTACTGGGGATCTAACAATCCCCTCATGTGCCCTTGACTGGAATCAAACCTGGGACCCTTTAGGCCACAGGCTGATGATGCTCTATCCACTGAGCCAAACTGGCTAGGACAGTAGAACTTTTTAAAACGGGTATCTGACCTCTCTGTTGATTCTTTTTAAAGAATTATTCTGGAATACGACTTGGAAATTAAGATATATGGAATATTTGAAAGGGTTATAAGACTGGAAATCAAAAGACCTGATTTGATCTTCAATGGCTGTAACCTAGGATAAACGATTTTTTGAATGTACTTCATGCTTCTTACCAATGAAGAGGTTAGCACGGCACCTGCTCTGCTTGTTTCCCAGGGCGGTGAGGAGAAAGGGTTGGCCGTGGCTGAGCCTCTTCCTGAGCTTTAATTTCCTAGTCTGTCCACGCGGTGTCCCTTTCGGGTCTAGAGTTTGGATATTCCTGCTGTTGTTTAAAGAACCGACCAGTTTCTAGGAATGTTTTCCCCTTTGCCGAACTCATCACTGAACCTTTCCCCTCTTCACAGGCAGCGCAGTGGTGCAGAATGGCTGACCTCAGTCTTGTAGATGCGTTAACAGAACCGCCTCCAGAAATCGAGGGGGAGATTAAACGGGACTTCATCGCCACGCTGGAGGCAGAGGCCTACGATGATGTCGTGGGAGAGACTGTCGGGAAAACAGACTACATTCCCCTCCTGGATGTTGATGAGAAGGCGGGGAATTCGGAGTCAAAGAAGAAACCATGCCCAGATCCTGGCCAGGTGGAAGGTGAGTGAGTGAGCCACGCTGGCTATATGGTGCGGAAAGGACGTGAGGGGTCATGCTCTGGTTACAGTCTTGGAAACCTTGAGGGCACTGAGCCGAGTTGTTAAGTACAGGCCAAGAACCTGCCTTGGAGCAAAACTTCTTCATTTAAAACCAAGGAGCTAGGCCAAAACTGGTTTGGCTCAGTGGATAGAGTGTCGGCCTGCGGACTGAAAAGTCCCGGGTTCGATTCCAGTCAAGAGCATGTACCTTGGTTGCGGGCACATCCCCAGTGGGAGGTGTGCAAGAGGCAGCTGGTCGATGTTTCTCTCTCATCGATGTTTCTAACTATTCCTCTCTCTTCCTCTCTGTGTAAAATCAATAAAATATATTAAAAAACAAAAAACAAAAATACCCCCAAGGAGCTAGGTTCATAGGCTTTAATTGACTATGTGTTCATTATATTGTAGATCACTTTAAAAAAATAGACGTTTTATTGATTTCATAGAGGAAGGGAGAGGGAAATAGAAATAGAAACATCAATGATGAGAGAGAAGCATTGATCGACTGCTTTTTGCAGGCCCCACACTGGGGATGGAGCCCGCAACACGGGCCTGTGCCCTGACAGGGAATCGAACCGTGATCTTGTGGTTTGTAGGTGGACACTTAGCCACTGAGCCACGCCAACTGGGCCTATAGATGGCTTTTAACCCTAGATTTCTTCTGTAGCTGTCAACTTCTGTATCATCTTCCTCTGAATTTCCTACATTAAACTGGCTGCTGTGCTTTTTCTTTGAGAAGTTATAGACATAAAATTTTGTGTTTACATGAGGACTTAATTTAGAATGGAATCAGATGCCACTTGACTCTGGGAGCAGTACCAGATCTGGGTTAAAACGTGATTAAAGGCTTTAAAAGAGATTTGCTGCTTTTATATGGTATTGGGTCAGATTTGCTAATATTTGAGGATTTTTTGGATCTATGTTCATGTTGGATATGAGTTTGTTGTTTTCTTGTGAGGCTTTTGTCCAGTTTTAGAATTGAAGTCATGCTGGCATCATAAGATGATTTGGAAAATTTTCTGGGATAGTTTGTTTAGAATTGATGTTTAGAATTGAGTCTGTCCTTCTTGTAATTTTGTGGATTTGTTTCTCCTTTTACTCCTGTCAGTTTGGTTTGATGTGTTTTCAGATCTGCTGTCATGTGCAGATACACGTAGAATATGTCTTCTGGGTAGATTGACCCTCTTATGCTCCCTCTTTATTCCTGATAACATTGTTCTGAAGTCTAATTTTTGTCTTATATTAATATAGCCACCATAGCTTCCTTTTGATTAGTGTTTGCAGGATATAACTGTCTTCATCTTTTTACTTTCAACATGTTTCCTCTTTTATATTTAGTGAAAGTGAGTTTCTTATAGACAGAATATAGACATGTCTTGCTTTTTAGTCTAAAGAGCCTTGTCTTCTAATTGATATGTTCAAACTGTTTATATTTAATATGATTATTAAATTTAAATCTATCATTTTACTAGTTGCTTTCTACTTCTTTCATCTGTTTTAAAAAAATATATTTTATTGATTTTTCACAGAGAGGAAGAGAGAGAGAGACAGAGAATTAGAAACATCAATGAGAGAGAAGCATCAATCAGCTGCCTCCTGCACACCCCCTACTGGGGATGTGCCCACAACCAAGGTACATGCCCTTGACCGGAATCGAACCTGGGACCCTTCATTCCGCAGGCCGACGCTTTTATCCACGGAACCAAACCGGTTTCGGCTCCATATATTGTTTTAATCTAAGATAGTGCTTCTCAAAGTATGGCCCTCGGACCAGCAGGATCAGTAGTATTTGGGAGCTTGTTCAAGTTGCAGTTCTTAGGCCCACAGGGAAGGAGAAGCTCTGGGGTGGGGCCCAGCGATCAGTGTTGGGATGCATGTCCTAAACGGAGAAACCTGCCCTGGAGAAGGGATCGCTTCAGCCGTGGAAAGGGTGGCACTGGGTGTTGTGGAATTTCTTCTTGTTCAGCCTCCTGTTGCAGCGCCACAGCCCACTTCAGGTGGCCACCAGAGGGCGAGATTGGCACGGGCCTCACTGCACCATGCCGGACCTTTCCCCTCTGCCCAAGCCACCGGCTCTCTTCCCACAGGACACGTGCCCTCTCAGCCAGAGCTGCTGCTCTTCTCTGCCAGACTGGCCTGCGGTGCGGCACTCTGAGATCTCCCTCGGAAGAAGAGATTTAGAAAACCAAGTAAATTAGAATATTCTTCTATCTCAGGGCATGTGATAAGTTAAAAGACAACCTGTGTTGTCAGTGCTGTGTGTGTTTCGCTGTGAGAGTTTTCATTTCATGAAGTGGGAGTCTGTGGAAAAGGCAGCATAGCATCTTTGGAATCAGGACTTGACAGCAACGCACAGCAACGCACAGCATTGCAGTGATGAGCCCAGCAAGTCTCTTCTGCAGGGCAGCATGCAGCCTTTTTCTTCCCCGAAATCTCGTGCTTTATGTGGCAGGTTGTTTCTGTTCTCTCCTGCGCTTAGAGTTTTTCTTGTAACCTCTGTTTTGCTGCTATTTCATTTTATTCTAATAAGTTGCTTTTATATTAGTAGTCTCACAATTATGGCCTAGTCTAGTAATGTCATTTAAGTTAGATTTTTATATAAGGCAAAAGTAAATTTCAGGGTTTTCAAAGATTACTTTATAATTTAGTGATCGAATCTGTAGTTATCTAAAGTTGGGCTATAGTTTAGCCAATCTATAATCAATCAATCTGCAGTTATTAACAATCTATATGCTAAAGAGATAATATGCAGATGGTCATTGGCCATCATGCCATAAAGCTCAGACACTCAACACTGGGGAGAGAGGAATAGGGACCAGCCAGGCTGTGGCTGGGGAGAGGAACAAGCCGCCCGCCCCATGGTCCCCTGTGGCTGTGGCTGTGGCTGGCCTGGGTGAAGCCGGCCAAGGTGCTGGGTGCCTGCGACCAGTCAGAGGGAGGGAATCCTGGGTCCAAGGTGCAGGGTGAGGCTGATGCGGTTAGAGGTGATCAGGCCAGCAGGGGAGCAGTTAGGGGCTATCAGGCCAGTAGGGGAGCAGTTAGGGGTGATCAGGCAGGCAGGCAGAGGTGGTTAGGGGCAGGCAGGTGAGTGAGGTTAGGAGCCAGAGGTCCCGGATTGCGAGAGGCAGTTGGACATCCCCTGAGGGGTCCCAGATTGGAGACGGTGCAGGCCAAGCTGAGGGACTCCACCCTCCCCCTGCCCCATGCACGAATTTTGTGCACCGGGCCTCTAGTGAGAATAACGATAGCTGATTACGTTTACTTAACAGTTGACCCAGTACTGCCTCCAATATCTTTGCACTTAGTCCTCATGATAACCACGGGAGGTAGATATTGTCCCATTTTCCAATTAAGGCTGTTAAGGCTTAGAAAGCACGAAGGATTTGCAATTGATCATTTAGTCAATAGTGACAGAATCTGTGCCCAGATTTTCTGATTTTAAACTTCCATTCTTTCTGTGAAACCATACTAGCTTTATGCATACTCTCTGCTTGGTTTAATGTCTCATAGATACTGTTTTTCAAAACTAAAGATCCACTTATTATTAGACATACAAATGCTACATCCAGGAAATGTAGGAATCTTATTTTACTTACACAGAGAGCATGAACTTGAGGACTCTGCTGTGAATTCACAGGCATTTTTAGTCTCCCACTTTTCCAGAAACTGCTCCATGTCTCTTCCTCTAGTTCAGGCCTCCAGGACTTGCTCCCGTTCCTAGTTTCGGTTCACCTTGAGGAAAGAGAATAGTAGTCTCAGCCAGCAGAGAACGCCACAGCCGCCCCTTCCTCTCCTAGCCCACCTTCACCTTTGCCTTTCACTCTGCGGGCTCTCGTTACGGGGGAACTGCTCGTGCCCTAACCTAAGAGCACCGCTTACAGTGATGACCTCTCTGCCTTCTGCCTCATCAGTGCCTCTTTTAACTGCTCGTTCACCAGCATTAAACATACAAGATCTTTCCCTCATTGAACACACGCTGCTCACCCCGTGTTCATCTCATCCTCTCGCTGGTCTTCTCCGAGAAAGCTCTCTCACAACCCTCTCCCCATGCGCTTTGCACCACTCCCTTTGGCCTGCCCTGATGCCATGCCGCCAGCACTTCCCCTTAGGGCACAGCGCCCGTTTACTGCCCACCACGACTCCAGGATGACTCCCAGGGGTGCGCCTGAGAGCCTGAGAGGAAGGGATTTCATAAAGGAATCGGCATCATGTTTTTTTTAAAGTTATGTTTTCGTTGACTTTTAGAGAGAGAGGAAGGGAGGATAGAGAGAGAAACATAAATGAGATGAGAAAGAGTCATCCTCGTTCAGCTGCCTCCTGCATGCCCCGGACTGGGGATAGAGTGCCTCCCTGGCATGTGCCCTGACCAGGAAATCGAACCCATGACCTCTTGGTTCCTTGGTTGATGCTCAACTGATGAGCCACAACAGCCGGGCAGTGTGATATTTTTGTAAAAATAACGTCTTTAAATTTTGTATTTGAAAATATATCTCTTAATTAATTTCTTTTGGGAAAAGAAAAAGAATAGTACCAAGAGTTATATTTCATAATTATGGTACTCTAGTCTAAAAGAAAAGCAGAGCCCGGCCGGTGTGGCTCATTTGGTTGGCGTGTCACCTCATACTCCAAAAGGTGGTGGGTTCAATTCCCAGTCAGGACACATACCCAGGTCTCGGGTTCAATCCCTGGGCGCGTGCAGGAAGCATCCAATCAGTGTTTCTCCCTGACGGCGATGGTTTTCTGTCCCTCCATCTTTCTCTGTGTCTCTAAAAATCAATGATATAGAAAAGAAAAGCAGATATTTCCTTAAAACAGGTTAATTGGTCAGGTTCTTTCTGCAGCTGAGGAATTCTGAGTTGCACAGGTAGAGATACCAAAGATATAAACTACCTACCTATAAACTGCCATCCTCCCCCACTGTCTTCTATATCCCCCACCTTCCTTCACCTGAATGCTCTGCTCTACGTGGGCACGGATTCCCCCTGGCCCAGAGAACGTGTTTCTGACTGGAAATGTGCGCCTTCTTCCTGCTGGCGTGGCTCAGGAAGCTTGGCAGTCTTCCTGCCTCCCCATGTAGGTCCAGTCTCGGGTTCTGAAAACAGAGAAACAGCATAGTACTCGTGGTCTTTGGGTGTTGGTCTTATTTGAAATCGAGTCAATAGCTTTGTTTCCCTGATTATAAAAACAAATTTAACTGTTTGTGAAGAAAATCGAAAATTAAAGTATTTTAAAATTCTAATACTTTGTTTCATTTTTAGAAATTTTAATTTAACTTAGGTGTTTTTTGACTTGCGTTTTCTCTCTTATCTCCTATTCTGCCACCCATATACTGCTGGCAATCAGACTTACTCCAATTCATTCATTCATTCATTCATTCTTTTACTTAAAAAAAAATTTGATTTCAGAAAGGAAGGGAGAGGAAGAGATAGAAACATCAAAGGTGAGTAAGAATCATTGACTGGCTGCCTCCTGCATGCCCTTGACTGGACTCGAACCTGAGCCCGTTCAGTCCACAGGCCAGTGCTCTATCCACTGAGCCAAACCAGCTAGGGTTCATTCATTCTTCAAGCAAATGCTTATTGAGAACACTATATCGCTACAGAGGAAGAAAAGGAACCCCAAACTAGAGACCTTCAGGAGTTTACAGTTCGCAGGGATGATAATCAAGTGCCAAAAGCAAGGGGCAAACAAAGAATTGTGAGGTGTGAGCGGCGGGAGAGGAGATCTGATTGCGGCTCTCAGGAGAGAACAGGGAGGGGAGTACAGGCCACCCAAAGACAGGGTGAGACACGCTCTCAGGAGATGCGTTAGGTCTGTGTGCGTGGGAGTCGGGAGGGAGGGAGGAAGTCTCTGACAGTTTACAGAACAGGAGCGCCACCCCCACTGGGGTGCTTAGGAGAGTTGGGGCTGTGGGAATGAATGACAGTCTGTTCTGCTCTAGATCTTCATGGGCTATTTATCTATTTATTTATTAAAACATATTTTATTGATTTTTTACAGAGAAGAAGGGAGTAGGATAGAGAGCTAAAAACATGGATGAGAGAGAAACATCGACCAACTGCCTCCTGCACACCCCTTTCTGGGGATGTGCCTGCAACCAGTGTACATGCCCTTGATTGGAATCGAACCTGGCACCCTTCAGTCCGCAGGATGACGCTCTAACCACTAAGCCAAACCGATTTTGGCTTCCTGGGCTCTTTAAATGTTGGGTTGGTTTTTATCCGCTTTAAGCTAATGGCTGACACCAACTCTCCTACCAGATGGAGTTTGATTTGTTTCCCATGCTCCGTTCATCACACGGCTCTCTCTCTGTGCTGATTGCAGGCGCTCCGTCCCCTAAAGCAGCGATGCTGGCCAACGGTGACCACGGCCCCGGAGGGGAGGGCCCTGCAGGTGAGTGGCCCCCGACCCCCAGGCACAGTGCACCGGGTCAGTTGCTCGAGGAGGCGCAGGAAGCATGTGGGTGGCTCTGGGTTAGGGCGTGGTGGTTCCCGTGGGATGTGTTTGAACCAGGGCGTCCTCCACGTGACGGCTCCAGGGGGCAGGGGAGAGTGACTGTCCTTGGCTGTTCGGTGGACATTGGTTGTAGTACAAACAAGCACTGATCGGCCTTAACAACATGCTTATGGAGGCAGAACAGTTGCCACTGAGATGAGGCCTCCGGTCCCGCCAGCTCTGCAGGCAGGTCTCCCTGCGCACATTGCACTCAGGCTGCCAGGGCTCCGCGCAGGGGACTGAGCTGCAGAGTCAAGTTCTTTTCCCTGTTTTTTTCTTTATTTTCCCCTTAACTGTTCATTCTGAAATCTGCCTCTGACTTTACTCCGAGCCTGTGACTAGGCTTGGCTCTTCTGTCAGCTGGCACTGAGTGCCTGTGGCTGCCCCTCAGAACTGCACCGCCCGTGCCATCAGCCGCGCCGCGGGGAGGCGCCCTGGCCGAGCTCCGGGGACTGTGGGGAGGCGCTTTTTGCTTGCCGTGTGATCAGCTGGCACTGTCGGCCAGACAGACAGTCTTCTAACTGTCCCCGGGTGTGCCCTCCGCAACGGGCGGACATGGGGTTCCCAGGCCCACGTGGCAAACACAGCAGGGCCTGGCCCGGCCCTCCTCTTGGACGCAGACCTCAGCCTCGAGAGCCCCCTCCCGGCCCTGCGGCTCTCAGTGCTCCCCTCCCGGAGGCCTGCGGCTCTCAGTGCCCCTCTCCCGGAGGCCGGCAGCTCTCAGTGCCCCTCTCCCGGAGGCTGGCGGCTCTCAGTGCCCCTCTCCCGGAGGCCGGCGGTCTCAGTGCTCCCCTCCCGGAGGCCGGCGGTCTCAGTGCTCCCCTCCCGGCGGTCTCAGTGCCCCCCTCCCGGAGGCCGGCGGCTCTCAGTGCCCCCCTCCTGGCGGTCTCAGTGCCCCCCTCCCGGAGGCCGGCGGCTCTCAGTGCTCCCCTCCCGGAGGCCGGCTGCAGTCGCGTTGCCCGGGCGGCGGCGTGTTCTGTGGCCAGCAGAGAGGGGCATCTCTTGGTTCCTCAGATTTATTGATGATGAGGCTCTGCGTGGTGTGCCCGTTAGTTTATCAGTGACATTGGCATCCTTGTTAGAACTCGTGAATTCGGAACTCTTCGCGTTAAAAGCAAGAAGCAGCCCGAAGGGCCACCGCAGTTTTGTGAAATGGAATGTCTGTGATTCTTTGATGATGGTCGTTCTATGTGCTTCTGACAGTCCCTGTGCCAGCTTTGGAAACAAAGCCATCGGGATGATTTGGTTTTCAGAAACATTTGTGATTAAAGAAGAAGCTTGAACATGAACTTTAAACAGGAGTAAACGTCACTTTCCTTCACCAGGAGACTGTGGGGATTGATTGGATGGGCTTGTGAGAGCAGGGCTGCCATGTCCACCAGGAAGGGAGCCGCTGTCAGCGGAGAGGGCTCCTCCAGCAGGATGTCAGCATGGTCACGTTTAAGCAGCAGTTGCTTCCCACTGCCCAGGCTCATGGGGCAGCAAACAGGAACGGGGACACGCAGGCTGGGCCTCCCGGTCCCAAGGCTTGGAGTCCTGGTCTCAGCACAGAAGCTGCTGGCTGAGCCCTCGCCAGGGAGGTGCTGAGAGCAGGCCCGCCTCCTTCCCGGGGAGTGCAGCTCGCACTGGAAGGGGTTGGCCTTCTGGACCGGACACGTGGCTGTGTTAGAGCAGGCGCTTTACTGAGCACACGCTGTTGCTGGGGGTGGGAATGAGTAGGGAGGGAACGAAGATGCACGTTCTTGGAGCATGTGTGACTTCATTCTAATCTGGCCATCACTAACGGGTGCCTTTTTGAAAACTCCCATTTCTGCTTCCTTCAGAAGGTTCTCTCCAGCCCTGCGAGCAGCTCGGCCCCCTGGTAGCGTAGGATGGGATTATGAGCCTCTTCTGTGTTGAACTTGCTGTTGACTAATGACCTGTGCTTTTCTGCCCCCTCCTCCTCCCTCCCTTCTGTTTTCCTCCTAGAAGCCTAGAGAGTCTCCGCACTGGGGCTGCGCCGCGCCAACCGGCGGCTCCCTAAGCTCCGTCTCCTAACGCCCGAGCCTTGCAGAGCTTTGCTTTCCCTCCCCGGACCTAGAGAAGAAGCCAGGGGGGTTCTGCGGGGCCTCTTTCTGCTGATGCTGAGCAGCACCTGCCTCCTCTTGTCCCCCGTGACCACCACGCCACGATGGAGTCTTTAATTGTGGTCTCTATACGGGTCACCTGGTGTTCTCATTTCTTGTTCTCTTTTTAAGTTCATTTTATCACTTAATTTGCTCTCACGTTTTTCTTTTCTTTAAACATTTTTAGTTGGCATTTTCCATTGGGTTTCCAGGTCTCCCACCCGAGGCAGGATGTGGCAGCGCAGAGGAGAGCGCGAGCTTTCCAAGGGCGTGGGTCCACCAGCGGCAGGCCCTCCCCTCTCTCCCTCGTGGCTGGCTTCTGGGGAGGGATTCTCTTAGGCACCGTGCTCCCTCCCTCGCTAAGAGCTGGGTTAGGACGCTGTTTACGGTTTTCTGACAGAGCAGCTCTCATGAAACTTTGAAAATATTTCCTCAAATTAAATCGGCCTTTGTTAGTTGCAAGTTGGGCCAAAATTGTTTCTGTTATGAAATTATTTCTGTAGGTTTAGATTCTCCTGAAAACTTAATAACCTTATTGTGTGTGGAATTTTATCAGCAAAATTACTTTCTTTGCACGATCATGAAGTATAGGAAGTTGAAGAAATGGAGTCCAGTATTGTTGGCACACTGGGCTGTTGATGCAGATAGGAAATAACTGTCCTTGTGACAACACCAGATGGAGCTAACTGGGAGCAAGTGGGAGGACAGCAGTTTATCAGGTTCCTCATGAGCTGGTTGCTGATTGGACTCGGCCTCTGTTCAGGGTGAGGATCCTTTGCCCTTGGACGGAGCCTTTGTGCCGTGTCCCCGGGCGTGGGGTCAGGCGAAGCCTGCATGTCAGTCCTTCCCCACGAGCGTTAGATCTGTTTTCTCACATTCCGAGGATTGTCTAAAGGGACTTTCTATTCCCGTTTCTCATTTTTCCAGACTAATAGCTAAAAATTCTGGAAGCATATGGAACCTTTCAAATGATAAGCTGTGATTGGATCTTTAGAAATAGAATATGAAACATGGGCCACGTTTTGAAATCTTAGAGGAATTCTGGTTCAAAATCTGAAATGCGAAATACTTTTAAAATTGTTTTTTTTTGTTAGTTCTTACCCGATGATATTTTTTTCATTGTTTTCTAGAGCGAGTAAGAGGGAGGGAGGAGGGGGAGAGATGGAGAGAAACGTTGATGTGAGATAATACTTCTATTGGTTGCCTCCCATGCGTACCCTTAACTGGGGCTGGCGAAGTATGTGCCCTTGACCAGGAATCGAACCCGCGACCCTTTGGTCTGTGGGCAGATGGTCTAACCACTGAGAAACCCGGCTAGGGCACTTAAAAATTTTTTTTTATTCTCTTAGAGACTATGTTTTTATGATCACTAAGCTACTGATGATTTCAGTTAAGTAATTGTTACTGTGTTGTGAGGAAGTCTGAGATGCCCGTAGTTAGATCTTACACAGAGCTGCCTGTGGGTGGTAAATCAGAAGGTTACGGAAGTTTCCCTGGTCCTTGCACTGACGCCTGGAGCTCAGGAAGCACTCCCTCTTCTGGGCGCAGGTCTGTTCACCTGGGGGCTGCTCTGCCGGAGTGCCTTCTGTGGATTCTGGGGAGAAGACACTGAGGGAGAGTTGAATGTAACTTCTAAGCAGTTGATCACATATGGAACCTGTTACCGTAGGAGCCACTCCATGAACTAAACCACAGCTCTTTCTCTTGATGTGTGGCCATTTGTTTCCCGGTGGGGTTTTTGGTTAGGACCTTTTACAACTGGTAGTGCTAACTTTTAGAAGTGAGGCATCTTCCATCGCTTCTCACCAGGCTCTGTAGTTCGTGAAGGACGGGGGTGGGGAAGCCTGGGGAACCCTGTTGGGCCGAGGTCAGAGGCACCCCCACGCCATGTTAATGTTGCTTTAGTCCACTTTTATTTCCATCCTGTTACATCTTTGTTTTGTTTGAAATTTATTTTTATCTAAGATTTTTTTTTAATTTATGAAATCGAAAATTTCTACTAATAACTTGCTAAAATTTATATATTATTAGCTCACTTGGTTGCAATTGGATGCTTCATTTTAAAAGAAATATATTTTATGTTTTACATCCAGCTTTATATGAAGTAGCCAGTCCTGTAATGAAATGCTGTGTTGCCATGATGGTTATACCTGAGTGGCCCAATATTGCCCTCGTGAGATGACCAGGCTGCCATCTTACGGATTGCTCTGTTGAAATGTGCTGCTTCTTATATGTAATCAAACCATCTTCTCTTCTCTTCTCTTCTCTTCTCTTCTCTTCTCTTCTCTCGCCTAATGTTGAAGATGTAGACCTTTGTTTTTAAAGATTTTTATACCTAAGTTTATACTTTTTGTGATTCTAGACTTCAGCAGTTTGTACATTGGAACATTTTAATGTAATCATTGTGCTAATTAAATTACACTAATAAACATCTTACATTAACATCTTACAGACTGGAATTTGGTTGGGGTCTAAATATTGAAGTGTAATGCGACTAAGATGTGAGTTTGGTAAATAAAGATGCTTGAGGCATGAGTTCTCAGTCTAACAAAGCTACTAATCACACTCCTAACAATCCCTACTGTCACTTACATTGCCGTTTTTGATTCTCAGAGTGGCTCTTCTTTCCAAAATCTGCACGAGTTAAGTCCAAATGACTGCTTGATATTTTATAGCATCTGGTGAGAAAGACAATAGGCAGAATAGCAATGTGCAGTTATTAAAAAAAAAAGACAGTTTCATGGCTTATCCATTATGGTTAGGTATTTCTTCTTTAAAAAATATATTTTTATT